TTCACTTGAAATTGTGAGCATTTTTCGATGAAGGACCCTAAGTTTCAACAGTTACAAATCTCTTGGAGGGGTTATTTAGAAGGCGACCCCTGTAAAAGCCAAAAACGGGGCCGCAAATTTGAACGAAAATTCCAAATTAGATTCAGCAAACGGGTGCGGGAGACTTTTTTTTTTTTACAGTACTATTCAAAATAGTTCAGATGGTGACTGTATGGTACGTACAAAGTGGTAGTTAACTGCGCGTAAAATGTGAAAAGTATTATCGACAATAAAATGACAAATTGATAAACGTGTCCCAAGATGTGCTCAATGTAGCCGCCTCTCGCGATTCATTTGACTGTTTTTGTGGCAGGCCTGGTCAAAGCCAGATAAAGCAGATCAATAGCGAGGCGACTGGAAATAGAGCCACTCTGCGAGGACGCGCTTCACATTCCTGCCCGGGGCCCCTTTTCACCCATCAACACGTCACTCTGTAAAACGGTAAGGCAGCTGTCCACGGCCGTCAGCTTAAAAGTGCTTCTGAACATATCGGCCAGCGCACAACCGAATCAGACGCAAACCTGACGGAGCCGCCTCTCAAACTTGCTTTCCAAAGTCCACTTGCGTTGATATTTTTTGGGTCAAATACAATTCAAACTCCTTCTTATCTCCTACTTTTACACACAAATGCAGAGTGTGTCATTTCCACAGCGACAAAACTTGCTTTGACCGAGTTGAAATGTGCAGAGCGGCTTCATCAAAAGGTTTGAAGTGATTGGGAAGTGCACTGGATGACTTGTCATCGAGCGAATAACATCATTGGAGTTGAACGAGTCGAAACATTTGCGTTGAAGTATTTGCCAAAACTAAAAAGGCGCCAATTCCGCTGACACAACGGGACTCCAAAACAAAGACGTTCTGCAAAGAGGCGCAAACTTTATTGCAGCGCTTTCGAAATTCAAGAGTTGCTTGGCGAAAACAGAGAGAAAACACAAAGCCCTTTTTCAAAAGTCTGCACACTCATGAGCAAGTCTCCTTGCGCGTCGTCCTTTTGAAAGCTGACTGAGAATCTCCTGTGGCGTCTCAGGTGTCCTTTTCCTCCCTTGCCCTTTTGCAACCGGCGCTTCGACTTGCTTCGGCTTTCATGGCCGATCGTTCCCAGTCCAATCGGGTTGCGCCGAGCGCCCACGGCAGCCCTTCAGTCCCTGCGGAGACACCGCGTCGGTGGTGCCAGTTTCATCTTTCTCATCATCATCATCATTTCTCCACTGTCTTTTTTTCTCTCTCTCTTTCGCTTTCTTCCTCACTCTGTCTGCCGATCTGATTGGAACCCCTTTGACAAGGGCCCCCGGACCACGGAGAGGTCGCGGCTCGGCCGACGAATTTGGAGAAATCTGAAAGATCGGAAAAGCTGCGCATCAATCCAAGGAGTCGCCCAGTCACACCTTTGGATTCATTTATTCGGGTTTCGATTTGCTTCGGACTAAACATCAAACGCGAGAAACAAAATGTCATTCACGTTAAACCTGAAAATAAAGCTGATGCGAAATGAATTCCGGGTTTGTAAAACCAAAAAGCATTGCAAAACTCTTCCTTCCCCCTTATTAATTTGACCAACAACCTGCAGAACTTAACTGACAAAAAAATCGTTTAGAGAGGGGGCAATACAAGTAAACTAGAGACATTTTTACCAGAGCAAGATATATAATATATAATATTTCATTCAACACGAGGACAAAAAAACCGAACAAAGAGCACAGACAATAATTCGTCTGTGAGTCAAACAGCCGCAGTATAGCGACAACTACCGCCGTGGAGGACTTCCTGTCATTTATTTTGCCTTTAAGTATCACTGGCCGGG